CTCTTGTACTGGGGAGCCCAGAACTGGACACAGTCTCCAGATGTGGCCTCACCAGGGCTGAGTAGAGGGGGACGATCACCTCCCTCGACCTGCTGGAGGAGTTATTGAGGAAAGAGAATATTAACCTGAGTGACCTAACTGGAAACATGTACTTTTTAGTAGAAATGTATTACAGCCAGTAATTACACTGTATTATTATATTTAATGATAAAAATCTAATTTTCAATTAAAATTTATATTAAAATACCTGCATCTACACAAATTTACATTTTCTTAAGACTTGTTCCTTTATTTGCATTATAGGTTATTCTCTTAATGATATCTTAGTTTTAAAGAAAAAAAAAAGTTGCATCCAGTTAAATTTAATCCAGTGTATTAAAATGTTAAATTGATTAAATGGTAAAATGGCAAACTTCTTTATTTTCTGCAAAGATGTTTTTAATTACCATTTCTGAGATGATTTTTTTAAAAATATTGACTAATGTATTTAGCCAAATAAGCACAAGTAACAAAATATGTTGATATCTTAACAGTCTTAAATCTAGCAGTATTTTTGAATGCAGTTGTGACTCAGCCTAAATCTACTCAATTCACAGCATTTACTAGTGTAAATGTAGGATTTTTTTTTTTTCCCCTGAGCTCTCCTATATGCACCTCCTGTTCTTTTTGTATTCTCCTTCTTTACATCAGGATTAACACTGCTGCTTAGTAGCCAAAAAGCTATAGTGCAAGGTTCTAACTCAGGACCCACCAAAAACAATACTTGCCTAAGAAACAAGAGAAACTTGTTTTGTTTGTTTGTATTCTTTTGTCTTTTGTTTTTATGTGACGAGTTTGTCCCTTTTGAAAGTTTAACAGTTTTCTAATGGAGATTGAATAATTGCTGATTTGAGACCGAATTAGCTTCCTCATACAATGGAGAGGAGATGGATGGATTTAAATAGCTGGTGAATGGCCATGGGCTTGGGAAATACATGGTGAATTTATTTAGGAGATGTAAAAGTTATTATATACTATGTATGTTATATTTATATATATTTCCACTTATTAAAGTGGAAATAAAGATAACTTAGTGCAGACTTTGAGTAATCAGTGAACCAGTTTTTGATCTGTTCACAAAATATTTCTACAGGTAACAAATATTTCTTCAGGGACAAATTAGATCTAAGTCTACGGTAACTGCTTTACTCACACTTCTAATTTTTAGTAGTTTGAATCAGAGGTGAGGAATAGTAAAGCTTTATGCAGCTTTTGGAGATATATTAGAGGGAGATAAGGGCTTACTTTTATGTTGAAGTGTCCTCTGGCAAAGTGTTTCTTGTGGTTTCACTTCTGGATGTCTTTGACCATTGAGCCACTGCAATGTTTAGAATAATAATTGAAACTTGAAAGAAAAATCCTCCATCAAAGAGACTGCTGTATTAGTTAGACCTGTAAAATGGAATCAGTTTATTTTTCTGAAGTGCAAAACAGTTCAAGTGTTATTCTAAAGAAAATAGCTTTCTAGTGAAGTTGCAGAAGAGTATGAACTACAGATGTAAACCTGGTGTATTGCCATTGTGAAATTACTGGATAAAACACCAAGTGGCAGCTTAACCGGAATAACCTTGGCAGAGCAGAGTATGTTTTTTGGGGAGCCAGGCTGGTGTTGACAGAAGATGGAGGTAAGTGGCAGTCATCTTCTGTTCTGATTTGTTGCTGGGGTGCAAATTCAACACATGGAAGAATTTCCACAGACATATTTTTGTTAGGCATTTCAGTATGACTGGCAATTAATACTTTTGAAAAGTAAACTTAGATTGTTACCACTAAAAAACACTGAAAAGATAATATTTTAATACTAGAAGGAGAGGAAGGCTGTTATGTTCAGTGTAAGGGTCGCTGAATCCTGTTGTCTCCTTCTCTTAGACAAATGTTTTAGTAAACAAGCAAATGAGCTAGCAGTGTTTTGAGGGGAACTTGTTTTGAGTGAAGTACAAAAGATAAAATACATGCTACATAGAATCTACAGATAATATAGTTATTCATCTTTAACATAGTATTACTCATTTGATAATTTGTTTTATTGGTATGTAACTGTACATATCTGAGGCAGTTTATCCTTAATGCACTATTTTAAGGTCTGATCTATAATGTATGAGATAACATTATTGAAAGTAGTTTGTTACTTTTGTACTGACATTTTTAGGTTATAGTTCAGTATTTCCCATCACTGAAGCCTTTCTGGAAGTTAATGAGGATAGGATAGAAGGATAAGGTGTAACAGGGCTTTTAACTATTAAAGACAGCAATAGGCAAAAAGGTATAATTGATGTATAAGATAGTTGTTTAAAGAACTCGTACAACTAGGAACAAGAAAAAATATATGAAAACTCTTTTTTCCTCCAGGTAAAATGTATGTTTTTTCCTTTTTAAAGAAACACAAATACTTGATTTTTCTCTACCATCCCAGGTCAGCTGAGATCCTTTATTCCTTGGCTTTGGTGCAGTCCAGTAAGTCTGGCAAGATGAACATATTTCCTTCAGTGGATCACTATAAATTGCTGACAGAGGCTAGGAGGAACCTTGGGCTCTTTCAGCATCATGATGCCATTACAGGAACATCCAAAGATTGGGTAGTTGTGGATTATGGCACAAGGTAATGTATCATAAATATTTAAATGTAACATAGTAACACATTTGCTACATCTAGCAACATGCTAATAGTGTACTATTAGTTAATGTGAATGTATGATGCTATTACTATCAATTTATTTGATTTTGATAGTGATTTTATTCACTTTACTCTTATCAAGTTAGGAAATATTTTCCTATTCTTATAGAATAAAAATCTAAAAATCTTGTTTATTTCCAAACAAAATTTTTCTGGGAGTTTCAAAATAAATTTGTAATTATAGGATTGCTATATTGGGTAGCAAATGTTATACATACCATATCTGCCTGTGTAGAAATGGATTGATCAAGAAGCACTGTCCTACTTACCCCCTCCTGTAGTCTTCCCACCTTATCCTGAAAAGTCTTTCACACTGTCAGTATTCTATTTTATTTGTAATATTACTTCGTTTGTATTATATCCTTTATATAAGCTGTTTTCTCAGTATTTTGAGTAATGGCAAAATATCTCACTGTGTGAATTTTTTAGAAATATATGTTTATGATATATGACTGTAGCTGTATACCTTTAAGGTAATCATGCTTTTGTTTAGGAAATTTGTACGTATTGGAATATTAAGCGCTGCTAGACTTCATGAATAGGTATCATAATGGTAGAGCATGTCTATTAAGTAAGGTATTATCTAAAATGTTTTTAGCGCATTCTATTTTCTCTTTCTCCAAGAATATAGCAACTTAAGAATATTTTCAAATTCCATAAATGTGCCTTTTTCAATATCTATATAATGTCTGTTAAAGCATCTAGTCAAGGTAATAACATGTGCAGTACACTTATCTGGCTAGGGTGTAATAAAACAGTGTCTTTCATTTTACAAAATAAATTTATGCCGCTGTGTATTTTTATGAAGTCAAAAATCTCATATTGATTGAATCAATGGAAGCATTCATTATTGCTTAAATGTGTTATTTCTGTGTTTGTTATGGCTTCTCTGACTCTTGATTACATTTTCAGGGTTGCTATCATCAGTGCAGAAACTGAAAATCCAATGTATAAAATAGAAGTGTCTGGTATTCTGGAGGCGTATGTTTCAACAGTGGGGTGGAGATGTATCTAATTTTCAGGATGCGAAGAAGGAGTATAATGAAAATGCAGAATATTTCCGCTTTTTGCTATCTGGGCAGCAATTGTTAAATAGCTGTTCTTAGGCTGATGTTTCATTAGTATTAGAAATTGCATTTCTCTTTCTGTAACTCTTCATTTTGATGTTTTGTCCTTTGGAGGCTTGTCACTCTGAATAAAGACGACTTAAGAAAAGTAACACTACTTAAAATTTTTTAACAGGCTTTTCCATTCTCTAATAAACGTGAAAAAAGTGATAATTGACTCTACTCATATTCTTATCCTGAAGGATAAAGATGCTTATAATTATGATGCATCAAACCAGTTCCTTAAGATGGTGAGTTATCTTTCTTTATATTTTCCAAAATTAAAAATTGAATAACAATATATATTTGATACAATTTCACTTGAGATTTTCAATCAGACTGAGGTTGGCCATTAGTATATGCTGTAAAATATATTACATATCACTGTTCATGTTAATGGAACATGTAGGAAAATAAAAAGGAAAACTTATTCTGTAAAGAGCTGAGGATGAGCTGTTTCCAGTTTGTGAAGCACAGAGTAAATCCAGTTGTCTTTAATTTTCATGCATATTTAGATTTGTTGTTGATTTCAGCAGCCTGCATACATGAATATACACTGTATATAGTCATGCAATTTTACTTTGCTTGTTGCTTAAGAGATACAGGAAGAAGAAAATTTCCATCTTGATGGAATATGAGCCCAGGCTGGATTTGCAAGACCAAATATAGATGAGACCTTGACCTTTTTCTTAACTGAAATGATTTGAAATGGGAGTCTATAGAGAGCAAAATTAGCAACAGATCCCCATATGTCATTTTGAGATCTATTTTACACAAGGGAACATGTTAAGAAAGCACACTTGCTAATATATTTCTCTTTTGAAAGTTCTTCCTTCTTTTCACTTTGCAGTCAGTCTACTATGATAGCTAGATAACCTTGCAAAGTACTACATGTGGAATAGATAGGAAATGAGATACTTTAATGCTATTGCGCATAAACACAGCAGGATTAAGACAGTCCTTGATATATGATTATGTGGTAATAACGATTAATGGTAGTAGCACACTGATATATATTCTGTTGGCTCAGGTATGCCTGTTGTGGTATCTTAGATTAGTCTTTCAGTTGTGTAGGTTGGAAAAAAGTCAAAATAGCCATTTATATCTCTGTGACCGTGGTATGATGTTTGTTTATTTATGCATTCATTCTGGTTTATGTATTTTTTTTTTCTCATGATTGGAAAAAGACTAACAAAGTAACTACGTACCTTAAAAATAAATTCTCATGTTATTCATAGAGATAGGCTTTCAGTATAAATATGAGCTCTTAATTATATTGAAGAGTAGTGCAAAGCTGCACTTCGCTAAAATTTCATTATTCATGTGCTATATTAGTTCATAGATTACCACTAGATCATGGAGTAGCAATTCGTGTTTGAGCTTTATGTACCGTATAGGGCTGTACTCATAGGCAAAGACGCCATTTAATTACCATTGTGTAAGCATAGATCCCAAAGAAGATGCTTATATATATGCTTTTATAATCTCCACATAAGATGGGAAAAAGCAGCTGATTATCTGTTTGCATGGTAACTGCAAGTTAACAGAAGCTTGATATTTCTGCAATTTTGTAGACACCGTGAAAAACCATTTTTGGGGTGTGACTGAATAATGTTAGTGGGAGAATTTTCAGGAACTTTGCAAAGAGGTGTTTACAAACCTAGAGCAAGTAGAGAGTCCAAAGATGCTTGTTTCAAAATATTGTCGAAAGTAGCTCATGGAAGTTGATGCCATGGATTGATCAGTGGTGGGTGTGCTGAATCAATATGAAGAGTCAAGGAATTCAAGAAGGAAGAATGATGATGCTTTGTGGGTGGGAGCACATACTGTCTGTGACAGTAAAAGGTGTCAAAGAGACGTAATTGAAGAAACAGGCCAGTAGCACTGAGGTAGATATACTCAGGGAGAAACGGCACTGCTTGGTGGAAAGTGGTGCCAGTGGAAATAGAGGTTCAAATGATACATGATGGAAGGATACCAGAAGAACGTTGCCTACCATGTTTTCAGCTGTTCCTAATTGTTAGTTACATATGGAAGCATATGGATTTTTCAACTAATATTTAGGTGTCTGGGAGATTACTGAGGAAATTGTACTTCTACAGATTTAAATTAGTAAACAAAACTTATATTGTTTGGAAGAAAATATACTGAAAAAAGAGTATGATTTAGAGACCCCAAGTGATCTGAGATCCACAGCACAAAGTGTAATGTGGGCACTGATTGCACTGGAGTTGGTGTATTACAGTCTTGTTTGCATAGAGCTAAGAGATAAAACATGAAGTGAGTAAGCAATGGATTTGAGAAACAGGACTTTGAGGATGTTTTGCAATATTTTGAGAAACTAGGGACTTTGCACTCTGCATCCAAAGTCTGCAATTATAACAGTTACCATTGAAGCCATATGAATACAACGGTGCCTTCATTGCTAGACTTTCCTTCAAACTAGATTGTGTTATGGGCTCAGTTTTATTTAATGATGTAGAGAAATAAAAGTAGGAGCATGCACAAAGTTTTAGATTGCAGTTATTGCTCAGTACAGGTCTGGGGCAAACAATGTTAAGCTAAGCCTTAATATATTCACTGTGAATATATAAAATCTTTTCATGCTAGTCAGTCACTGTGACTGGGAGGCAATGTCTTTTATTGTTTCTTGGAGTGGGTTGAAGCTCAGTGTTAGTGAGGTACAGTTTTCTTGCTCTTTGCAGAAAAGTTTACTTTCCTAAGACTGTTCTCTTCTCTGTAATGTTACATTTTATTTTAAATTATAATAATCATCAATTTAGGAATCTTGTCACTGTATTCCCATGTTTCTGCTTCATCTTCTATAGTTAAGTAGTCTACATGTTTTCTTACTTAGAGACTAAGATAATGGGGAGAGCAGTGGTTCATTATTATCTCAGTAGAACTGAGCTCTGGGTCATAGTGTACTTGAGTACTAAATAATAAATATTTTTCAGTGCAGTTACACAATTCCTTTATTAGTTTATAGGAACAAGAAAATAAACCATTATTTCAGTCTGAAATCTTTAGTTTACGGTCTTTGTGGATTTTTATCTAACATACAAAAAGAATATTTTGAAGAATGTGAAACTGGCATATTTTGATGTAATAGTAAAAGAGACTTCTGTTTATGATGTGACGAGCATGGTTTTGTATTTCCTAAAGCTCATGTGTATTTAATATACATTAATCTATGTATTCAAAAGCAAATTCAAGGATGTTCTGTTGTAGGATGATGCGCAGACCTCGCAAGATTCTCTGCCGCACAAGACAGTTATAAAGCTGACTTCACAGCCGAGGTAAAGAAGTACCCTACTACTCAGCATCTGAGATTTTGTGTTCTTTTCATTACTTGATAGTTGTTATGTCATCTTACTGTTTTATAACTTTTCACTCAAAATAATGGCAAAATGTAATTTAGCATATTTTGCTAAGATTAGTGTGTTAATTAGTGTGTTAGAGTAGAAAACTTTCTCCCAAGTATTGCTAATTTATGTGAACCAAGTATAACAGTCTTTTTATGTGGCTTTTTCAGTATTATAATGCTTAATAAATTATTCCTGAAAACTACAATAGGAAATTCTAATTGAGCCTAATTACACATGACTGAATTAATTTTCTGAGGGAGGCTTGTAATTTTTATAAGCCCGAAGTCTGGACTTGCAGATACATAGATAGAATTATAGATAACGAATTACATTTAAATTGAATTAGAAAACCAAATAGGAATATACTTTTCGTTAGCTCTACCTTTCTAGGTATTAAGAACTCTTTATTTATCTATTAATCTGTGGTTCCAGAGCTTCAGTCACAAGCGACTGAAATAGTCCCTGGGAACATTCCTGTCCATCCTGTAACGTTTATGCATGCATTCATTAAAAATGAGAAATCTCAGGAAGTTTATGGTAACATCCAAATAAAGTAACAAGATAGATGGATACGCGACCTGTTGTGTGTGTATATAAATCAAGGAATACAAATGCCTTTTTTATTTTAAAAAAGTAGGATTTATTTTAAACCTGAGCATTATTTTTGCTGAGGTTTCTATTTGGTTTATTTATTTTCTCTCTAATTAAGCTCTAGCAATTGCCAAGGTAATAATAAACCTTGCTGGCATGGCAATAATCCTAGCTCTAGAAGCTTACATTCTGTTGGAGTGCTTGTTACCCTTCAACACTATTTCTAAGATTCTTTGGAAAAAATAGTATTCATGTAATTTTAATATAGGGTAATCCTGTGAACATGCGTGCAAGTTTCTTTTCCTTCTGTACTCCTTTACTATCCCTTACCTACCCCCCTTCCTGTGAGTTTTAATCTTTTATTTGAATGAATGGATGCTTTAAGATTATCTTGCTTGTTTCCCAAGATGGTAACTTGATCTTGAACAACATGGTGGTTTTCCTATTTAAGAAAAAGGAAAAGGAAAAAAAAAGTCACTCTTTGTAGCTCTGTTAGGAGAGAATTGTATAAAGTGGTACTTGGTGGATACAGCATAGATGCTTTTCCTGACATTTCAGGATAGTTTTAATGTTTCTGTTCTCCTTGTTTGGTTTCGACTTTGTTGTATCTTAAAACCCAAAATATCTCTTATTTGCATTTGCTGTGCCCGTTACCTTGACACATAGTATACTAAGCAAGCCTTCGTTTCTTGGTGTTTATGCATTTCAAGCTCTTGCATGTTCTACTTTGTATATTAAGCAGATGTAAATGTTCTGATTTTTAACTTCAAAATTAATGTTATCCTGGGAACTTTCTTTGCTGCTGTTCTCCGAATTTGCTTTAACTTGCTAAAAAGATGACATTGGTGAATAACTGCTAAATAGTTTTTGTCTGGCATTCTGAAGATACCATACAGTTGCATAATATGTAGTTCCTATGCCAGAGTGTGTAATCGGAATTATAGGAGTTGAAACAAAGCAGCAGCAGCTTTGGCACTGCATGTAGGAAGGGAATGATGTTGTAAAGCCATCTTCAAGCCTGTTTTTGTAATGACTTTGTGTTTGGAAGCAAAATGATCTTAAGCAACTTTTGTGAACACTACTGAGTGTTTTCTTTGTTGTTACGATTTGAACATTTGAATGTTGAACTGTCTATTTCTATTTAAAGAAGAACCTCGCTTGTCTCGGTCAATCTCTCTGGTTATGTTCTGAATCTCAAATTTATTACCTGTTTAAAAGGTGAATATGTAAACTGAGATTGCACTTAGACTACAATTAGTATGTAAATATTATGAGTATGCATATGAGCATTTTAAGTAGCAGGTGAAGATGTGAAATGCAAATTTAAGTAGAATATTGAACATAACTTGATAAATTGCCATTAATGATTAGTATGTTTAACCTTCAGAGTTTTCAGTTCCTGAGGTAGAAATGGATTCTTTTTTCAAATTAACATCTGAAGCATCAGCAGTTTAGAATATGCTGTCTGATTCTCACCAAAACTTTCATAATTATTCTTTGTATTTGCATAGTTATTCTTTATTGTTCTGTCCATTGCATGTATTTTCTAGATCTGTTTGTGTTAATGTGTTCTAATATATTATTACGAGTAATAGATGATAGGCCATTGCAGCTGTGACAAGATTGTTACTTTTCTCTAATTGGCTGATTTTTTTTGCAGTTTTGCATCTTCATGTGAAGATTTTAAAAAGAATTAAAATTATTAAAATCATATTGTAAATTGACCATTCCTATAAAAGTGATTCATATCACCCACAAAATGAGAATTACAGACCCCTTGTGTGAAGCTCTTAACTCTTTTCTTTTAAGTAAACACTTAATCGTTTTCTTCTCTTTATTTTTTCAAAGTTGACCAGATCAGCTTTGTGAGAGTAATTTACAATATATATTTCTCTGTATATAGTTCCAGTTTGATACTTTTAGTCAAATATTCATTTTACTGTTTCTGAAAGTTGCTGACTGAACTATGCAGGAGAACTAATACGACTTGATTACACAGAAAATAAGAGAAGGAAAAATATATTTCTCAAAGATCAGTCTTCCAGTGTAAAGTATTTCCAAGATTATTGTGTTGAGAAGTGTAAATAGGTATCCCTTTTCAAATATTTGGCATCCTTTTTCCCCCACCTATTCATCTAATATGTCTATGAGACATAACTCTTTATTGCCTTTTTTGTGAAGCTATAATTTGTTAAAAGGTAGTACTTTCATTTTAGTGGAATTACTATGTAGAGTATTGAAATTCATATTGTGACTGCCACTTTACAACTGAACAACCTCACCAGATTTTTGAGTACTGAAGTTTTGGCCTATTTAATTAAACTAAAGCCCTTTTAAATCCTTAATGAAGTGGAGAAAAAAAAACAACCAAAGAAAATGTAAACACTTAAATGTAAGATATTAATAAGACCTCATTTAAAAAAAATTCCTTTATTACCCTTAGTTGTGTAATTCTTTGTATAATTAAACCTAGTAGCCTGTGAAGAATGTTACTCGGAGGAAAACTAGGTTGGAAAGGACTGCAATTGCAGACTACTGCTGTTAATCAAGTCCCATTTCCTTTAAATAAAGGAATCTTGAGGATGGGAAAGGATCGGTTTTTAAAAGGGCACGTGTCTGATAATTTTTACTTCATAGAATCATAGAATGCCCAAGGTTGGAAGGGACCTCAGAGGTCATCTAGTCCAACCCCCCTGCTCACGCAGGGTCACCTAGAGCACGTGGCACAGGGCTGCGTCCAAGCGGGTTTTAAAGATCTCCAGAGAAGGAGACTCCACAACCTCCCTGGGCAGCCTGTGCCAGGGCTCTGTCACCCTCACTGTCAAAAAGTGTTTCCTTAAGTTCCTGTGGAACTTTTGGTGC